GGCGAGGTTGGCAAGCAAGCAGGAAAAGCTGAGAACCGGCTGTCCGGGGGGGTCCCTTTAAGCTCGAGCCTCAGATAGCCTCAGACAGCAGCCACACAAAGCAACTACTGACCTGATGCCCTGCCAGAACCGGTTTCAGCTGCCCTTAAATGCCCCCCTGCGTCCAATCAGTGTGGACGTGCTAGTTCGAATTAGCAAAACGCTAATTCAAACTAGTTTTTAGTTCTAGACGCGTTAGTTCGAATTAGCTCAGTTCGAATTAACTAATTCGAACTAAGTTAGTTCGAATTAGTGCTGTAGTGTAGACATACCCTAACTCACTACTGCACTTTGGTTTTCTTTGTGACTTACCATTACATTTATGCATTCTCTACCCTGGTCCTGCTAATAGCATCTCAGGATGGACAGGAGCTGGGGAAAAGGGGGTTAAGCAGTGTGCCCTCATCACCTCCATATTGGTTCACATAACAAAATTAATATGGCAGGGTGGGGCTGAGGGGTTTCGAATGTGGAAGGGGGCTCAAGATTGGGACAGAGCATCTGAGTGCAGGGCGGTGAGGGTCCTGGCTAGGAGTGCTAGCTCTGGGGTGGGGCTGGGGATGAGGGGTTTGGAGTGCAAGGCTGTCCCAGGGCTATGGTAGGGAGAGATGACACTTCCTAGTTCTCTCTCCCACAGCAGCACCTGGGCTAGGATGTAGGCGCCTCTCCCCCAGCTGCAGCAGGTCTGTGGCTGGGCGGTGGCAGGACTGGGGGAGGAGCTTACAGAAAATTTAAGGTAAGAGGACAAGCCTACCCAATACTGCTGTGGTGGCTCCTGTCTGACAGGTCTAGGCTGGGGATTGTGATCTGGGACACAAGGATGCAGCATCATTCAGGTTTGGGGAGGGGCAGCCAGGCCCACAGGACAGAAGCCACCACTGCAGAAAGCATGGGCCAGGATCACTTTCCTGCTGTACCCACCTCAAATCTGAACACTTAATAACCTCTAAACCTTCATTTAAAAGTTGAGAAACTTGGCCTCATGCACCATATTGCAAATAGAAACCCAACAGACCTAACTTTAATTAGCTCCTACTGCCCATCCTCAAGCTGAGGTCTGTCAAAAGAGTTTTAGATAAAATATTCTAACTGTGCTGAACACCTTTTTTAGGTGTCTTAATTTACAAACTTGTCTAATTAGCTCCAGCTTTGCTAGAACACATCTCTGTTGACAACTCTCTTTTGTAAATTTCTCTTCCCTGGAAGAGAGCTATAGACAGAGTCAACATGCCATTTTGACATGATATAAAATTCTAATTACTTTTAAAATTAGAATTTTATCATCTCGTTTTTTATCCTGGCCATAAGTAAATGAAAACAATCAACTCAGTTTTCATTTCTTTCCTTTCTGTTTTCATTTTCCCTAAAGGACACAGAATATTAGATGACTTTGTGGACCCTGTTAAACACCTATATTTTTAATATCTTGTAATTTATAAAAGCTTTGTTCAGTTTTCTTAAAATCTGATAGAAATTGTATCTCAGCTACAGACATTGTATGTTAATTTTGTGCCGGATGTTGAATTCTGTGGCTTTTTGGCTGATGGCCAAAATCAGACTTGTAATGGAAACTGAGATGGTATCCTTATCTGTGGAGAAACTACTACCTTTCCATAACCCTGTATTAGATATATATAGGCTATAGCCCAAAATGTATAATTTAGCCCCCTTATCAAGCTTTTATTGTTCAATCTGACTATGCTGTTTGAGAAGCAGAGGCTATCGTAATGAATTCTTAATCTCCTTTGAGAAAGAGATGCTGCTTAACAGCTACACACTTTGCTGAGACTTGTTAAAACTATAACACAAACATTTTAAGCAAGATATTTATAGACTGTGTCCTTGCTATTTATGCACATTAAGCCACTCAGATGTCCAAGTACCTATAAATCAGGTACTTAACTTCTCAGGTTATGTCCACATTGCAAAAAAACAACCCGCTCTACAGACTCAAGCACATGCTACGGAACTAAAAATAGCACTTTAGATGTTCCTACTTCAGTGGGAGCCTGGCCCCTCAACCCAGCATGAGAGGGTTACAAACATGTAGCTTCAGGCTCTGAGAGTCACTTCTGGGATTCCCCCACCACTGCCCCTGTGGAATGTACACATACCCTAAATCTCTTTTAATACCAGTCAAAAAATATATCAGGTCATTTGCCTATAACAGAAACGGTTCTTTTACACTTACCTAAAATTACACTAAATGATTCAGGTAGGATTCTGGGGATGCTTTCCAGTAACCCCCCACAAGTGATAGGGACAAAGGCCTTCATGTGCCCTGAACGAAGGCCAGGCAACAGAGCCTTGCTGTAGATTTTGGTTGGCGTCAGCAATAGTTCTCCTGTAATAAAAATGTACAAAATCATTAGAGAGAAAAACGACACAGAAGCTCTTTTATCAGGCAATACAAGTGATCTTTTTATCAGCATTCCCTTTGCTCTCTCTGGGACAAAGAACCTATAAAGAGTAGCGTGGAAGGCGTACAAGCAGTGTCACCTCACTGTGAGGAAATGGGAAAATGGATGATGATCTCAGAAAGAAAAGAACTGCATGACCATGGGCCTAGAACTGGAGTGATAGCCATCATAACCAGGAAATTCAATTTAGAGGCCTAAAAGCCCTGCCAGTGTCTATATAAGAAAAGAAACTAAACTGAATTCACTTCTACAAAGGTTCACTTTTAAAAAGCAGGTAATATATTATACCTAATGTCTGGTGGCCACATCCATCAGGTACTGGAGATGAGTAGCGAAGGGAAGACATTAAGAGAATCTTCCTTACAAGGTTAAATCCATGGCTGTGAATCCCAGAAGAAGCTAGTCCAATAATGACATCCCCTTCAGCAGCTCTCTTCAGCTGCAGGAGCATTTGGCCTCGTTCCACAGCACCAACTACAAAACCAGCAAGATCGCACTCTCCTTGAGGAGACATACCAGGCATTTCAGCAGTCTCTCCACCTGGAGGAAGGGAGAAATCAGGCAACACTAGCTGTAAGTACATTTCACTTCTAATGTGGAATCGATGACATTTCTCAGATTGGGGGTGTGTTCAATGTCGCTACAGACACAGCTTTAACTGCACATTCATAGCAAAAGGGTTTCCTACCCCCAAGGAACCACCAAAAGGCCAGTTAAGCTCTGAGTTACGAAAATGAACAGTGGGAACTGGGAAGAGGAAAATAATTCCTGGGACAAAATCAATATGGTGACTCTTGGGTTGGGGGAAGAGGAGGGGAAAGTTCCTCATAATGGATATTTCTATTTTGGAGAGGGAACGAAACTTTTTTAGTGTGCTAAGGATCTGGTGGCTCAAATTCTGCTCCCATTTATGCCAGAGTAAGAGAGAGAGGAGAATGATATTCAGTGTCTATGAAAGATAAATTATGCTGTTTCTCTGTACTGTGCACTAGCGGCAGTAATAGTTTATATCATAACCTTCAAATCTCATATAGGAAATAGGTGCTTGTACCCAGGTGAGCGTATCCTGCCTTTTTACAAGTTTCAGCTATTCCTGCAATGACTGCTTGTTTCACTTCAGTGTCAGGATTCCCACAGGCAAAATAGTGGAGGAAGAAGAGGGGCTCTGCTCCCTGAGCCAGGATGTCATTGATACATATGGCAACCAAGTCCTGGCCAATAGTGTCATATTTCTGGCACATCTGTGCAATCTGTAACAAGACAGTAAGAGACCTTATTTATAGCTGTGATAGGAAGCAAACAGAAGTTCTGACATGGTTTCCAGAGGAAAGAAAATAAGATAGTTATCTATAGCTATCCACTATAGAAATCAGAAATGGGAAAATCCTAATAGATCATCTAGTTCACCTCCTGAGTCTGCCTATACAGAATATGTCTGTTCTGTACGGTTTTTTTAAAATACTGTGTCGAATCTAATATTAGATTGTCCTAAAGGGATGGGGCATCCATCAGTTTCTTCCTGATACAGTATGTATTTATCAATATCTATATACCGTATTTTCCAGTGTATAAGGCGACTGGGCGTATAAGACGACCCCCTAATTTTCTAGTTAAAACAGGTTTTCGCCTATACTCGCCGTATAAGACTACCCCCCCTTAAGAGGCCAACCGGCAGCGCCCCAGCTGCTCTGCCCCAGGGTCCACAACAAAAGCCTGGTTTGCTGGGGGGGGAGGCGCACTAGCTGCGCCCCCCCCCCAAAAGACCAGGGACACGGGGAGCAAAGCCGAAGTGGCAGCGGGGTGCCGCGCTTCTGAGGCTTTGCTCTGGCAAAGCCTCAGAGGCGTGGGACCCTGCCGCTGCTGCGGGCTTTGCTCCCGGGGCCCCT